TTAGTATGGACGGAGGTTTCTAAATGGGAAGACCGATATTTTCTCCGTGGACTGAACGCTGACTGTTACATCGAACAGCTAATGTGCTGCCTTCATGTCGTTGCCTGCACCTTCTTAGAAAGTTCATACTACTGCAGGATAACAGCCACATTAAATCGAAAAACTCTCCCCTATTTGGAATCGAAGGGCGTCGAGTATCTGAAGAAGACGAAATATCCAAGTGACTGACCTAAGCTCACTCAATTATCGCGTTCCAGAGGAGTTCAACAGGGTGGTCTACAGTGGCGGAGAAATCAACGACTTCGCTGAACTCAGGCACCGAATCACGGTCGCGTGGCAGAATCTCTCGATGGCGTTCGTCCAGAAGGCTGTGGCGGAGTTTCGAATCGTGTACAATGTGTTGTTGCATATGATGGTGCCTTCTTTTTGCCCTTCCCCCGTATACTTCCTAGTAGGCAGCGCAGCATGTTCAATAGTTCTGATAGTTGTTGTAGAGGTAAGGCAGCGTTCAGACTTTGCGACAAGGCGCGTCGACTCACTACAGTTGCAACAGCGCTCTGTGGTCTGTAGGCCTATAGTCGCGAAAGCAGCCACAGTCGAGAGTCAGTCGAAGACTGCCGCTTTGGCAGCGTTTAAACTTCGCGACGGCGCTTCGGCCGCGCGTTCGGGCGATCGATCGCGTCGCTAGTGGTAGCGGCCGGTTGTGTAGCGCGACTGATTCGATCGCGCTCCAATGCAAAAATCGGCTGGACGGATGCTAATTCACAGCCGTATTCACTTACTTCCTTCTTTCTCCTCCCGTTAGCTTTTCGCTTGTTTTTTCATCTTCCTGTCACTCTTTTTTTTAATCTGTTCTAATGTTTGTCGGTTATTATGCTTATTACCTTTAACATATTGAAATTTTCAGGTACATTGAAATTTTTCGGATGGACGGCCGTGTTCAGCGCGCGCACTTTTCCTGTTTTCGATGTGGGTTTTCAGGTTCCCTGCTGTTTTGCTTAACTTTTTCATTCTTATTTTTATGCTGAACTGCTGAATTGCCGTCCAAACGAAACAATATGATCATTATGAATAAATAGATAACCATTAACTGCAGGGAACCTGTGAAGCT